CGCACCTGTAGATGAGCATTCCGTAAGAATTGCTCCAGAGAGGATCCAGAATGTCTCTCTGGAAGGTGATGTTTTAACCATTTCTCTCCACAGGGACTATGTTGAATCTGTAGATCTGGCAGGTCATGCTCAATTCCTTGCCAGAATTGAAAGGGTTAATAACAATTTATTCTTTCCTATTCAAATACATGACTTAGGAAGAAGTAGGAATGCAAAGCTGGACTTACAGAGTGAGAACAGCTATATTAGCAGAAGTCTGTTAAAGCAGATCGCTAATCCTAAAATGATCAGGTACGCTTCCCCACATGACAGGTGGATCCAGAATCTGGATGGCGAATCAGAGAGTCACAATGTGATAGCAAAATGTTTACTATCTATTTCCATCGGAAATAAGACAGTTAAACATTTATTCCTAGTGATAGACAAATCTCGCTATCAGGTTTACGTTGGCAATGATGTCATACATCATTTTGCCATACACCTTGACCTGATTAATTCCAACTTGTGGACAAGGTTAAAAGGTAATCCTTGTGGATACCTACACGAGGAAAACGCCCTGAAATCAGGACAAATACTCCCATATGTGGTAAGTATCCAAGTTCCTGATGACATAACCATTCCACAGGGGACAAGTAATTTTCTTTTACCCCTACAGGTCAAGGAGGGTCAGAGATTGGAAAACTCTGATGCCTTAATCTGTTTATCCAACAGGATACCACAATTAGGGATGGTGGTAACACATACACCAATGGTAAGTATTGGTAAGAATCCCACCTATATCATGGTCAACAATGTTACACCCAATAGTGTTACTTTACCAAAAGGAACATTATTAGGTCTAGCATTGGATGCTGAGTACTATACATTTGGTTTCCAAAACCAAATTATAGGCCTCATCCCTGAAGAATACTTAACTGAGGACGAAATTGTCGATCAAATATTCCATTCCTCCCCAGAAGGATTATTCACTATCCTATCTGTGTATCCCTTCAATGTTGAAGAAGGCTCGTGTAAAATCGAAGAAGCATCTATCACCTTCGATCATCCGCTCAATGAGCAGGAATCACAAGAGTATCACGACCAAAGAGAAAAGGTAAGTCAACACCGAACTGACCTAACTTCTAGGCTTGAAGAAGCTTATGAGATAGGCCAGCCTGAAATCTTTCCAGGATTTCAGGAAAGGCTAGAAGAGCAAATATCTTTAGCTGACGGTTGCTCCAACGATGCTGAGCGGCAACAGCTAAAGGAAATCCTTTTGGAATTCCAAGATATTTTTGCCAAAGATTCCTACGACTGTGGGTTAACTAACCTCCACGTAGCCAGAATACAAACTGATCCAAATTTGCCACCTGTATTTATCAAACAGTATAGACTCCCATTAGCGTCATATGATGGTCTACAAGACATCATTCAGAATTTAAAGGAAAGGGGCATTATACGTGCAGTGCACAGTTCGTATAATAATCCAATCTTGGGGATTCTGAAACCTAATGGACAATGGCGTTTATGCGCTGACTTACGACAGCTAAATAAACGCGTCTATATGTCTGGTTGGCCAACGCCATACATAGACCAATGTTTGGTACAAATGCAGGGATCCAAAATATTCACTGCCATTGACTGTGCGCAGGGATATTGGACTGTACCAGTCCATAATGAAGACCAATACAAATTGGCCTTCACATTTGGAAAGCAGCAGTATACCTGGACCCGTATGCCTTTCGGTTACATAAACTCTGGTCATGAATTCGCTGTGTTCATGCATAAAGCTATGCCTGACGCACTCGAGAGAGGAACGTTATCATATGTCGACGATGTCTTGCTGAAAAGCACTTCCTTTGATAAGCATATCTTAGAGATTAGACATGTTCTCACTCAGTTAAGAGAGGCAGGGATTAAACTGTCTTTACAAAAGGCACAATGGTGTCGCACCCATGTCAATTTCCTCGGACATGAGGTAACTTCTGAAGGATTAAATCCCCAGAGGAAGAAGGTTGAAGCCGTACTAAAGGCTAAAACACCTTCAAACATCAGGGAATTAAGATCGTTCCTTGGTATGACTAACTACTCCCGTAAGTTTATAGATAACTATGCAGAAATAACTAAACCACTCTTACACCTGCTTAAAAAGGAAACTACCTGGAACTGGGGGGAGCCTCAGGACCAAGCGGTAAGTGAACTGAGGAGGAAGCTCACTCAGGCACCCTGTTTAGCATACCCAGAGGGGGGTAAACCCTTCTATCTGGAGACAGGTTATACCAATTTAAGCATCAGTGCTGTTCTGTATCAGAAGCAGGACAGTTTAAACAAAGTTATTGCATATGCTAGCAAGACTTTGTCACCTGTTGAAGTTAAATTCAACACGTGTGAGAAGGCGTTATTGTCGACTGTATGGGCACTACAAAATTTTCGTAGCTATATCCAAGGTGAGAAAATAATTGTAGAAACAGCTCACCAACCTCTACAGTATCTGCAGAGTGAAAGAATTAGAGACGGTAATCTCTCTAACAGTCGAATTACTGCATGGACTCTATCCTTACAGGGATGGCCGCTAGAAGTCCGTTATAAACATAATAAGAGAAGCCCAGTTGCCCAAGGTTTAGCAGAATTACATGACTGTACTGCTCCATCTCTGGATGATAATGACACCGGAGATGACTTCCTAGAAGAGCAATTGCTATCTCCTTATAAAGTTTATGACGAGGAATACTGTCGACCACTACCGTGGGTATACATTGATGGTTGTTCATATCACCACGTCGCTGGTGCTGAACGGAAGTTAGTTGCAGGTATCGGAATCGCCTGGACAGGTGATTATCCCAATGTATCTATAGGATACAATATTGGTCCCAAAAGCAGTCAGATAGCCGAACTCTGTGCAGTATATAAGACCATTCAAATGGCAATAGAATATGGTATCAAAGAATTTGTTATTATAACTGATTCCAACTATGTTCGCAACAGTTTCGTCGAATATCTGCCTAGCTGGAAACGTAACCAAATGCTGAAAAGCAATAACAAACCTGTTAAACATGGGAAATTGTTTTGTAAAATTGATGAGTTGGTTAAGGAAAATGGTTTATCCATATATTGGAAGAAAACCAAAGGCCATTCTAAAATAGAAGGTATTGACAAGGATGGTAATGACTTAGCTGATTCACTGTCAAAACAAGCTGCCATCAATGGTGAAACCCTAAACATTGATGATCTTATGGGTTCAATTCATGTTGAAGCCATAACTAGACGACAGGCTAGAGATAATGCCGACTTAAACGTCGTGCAATGGAGCCAAGAAGCTCCTAATCAGGACCTGATTACTAGTCAAAAGAATGATCCCGTCATAGGCATATTCTATAGACATATAGAAGACCCTATTGCCAATCCCATCACAGATGAGGATTGCAAAGATAATGAAGATTTACGAATCTTGATGAGATATAAAGTCCAATTTAGTATCATGGATGGGTTACTGGTCAGAACTTCTAAACATGGTATACAACAATGGGTAGTCCCAACTGTATACAGAGGGTTAATGCTCCAACACGCACATGATGCACCTACATCTGGGCATCGTGGTGATAAGATCACATATGAGATATTGCGTGATTATGCATATTGGCCACACATGTTAAGGGATGTTAAGACATACTGTCAGGGATGCTTGATTTGTCCGCAATATCAACCCCATGGTCCAACCCATCGTGCACCACTTCAGAAGAGGGGGGTGTCATTACCCTGGTCTGATATTCAAATTGACTTTATAGGTCCTGTAACAAGATCTTCAAGAGGTAACAAATACATGTTAACTGTTACATGCATGTACACAAAGTGGATAGAATGTTTGCCTTGTAAAGAGAACACGAGTACCGTGTGCGCCACTTTGTTGATTAACCATGTCTTTTCCAGGTTCGGTCTGCCTCAAAGAATTGAGTCAGACAGAGGTAGTCATTTTACCAGCGAAGTAATGGCTAAGATGTGGAACATTCTAGGTGTTAAACGAAAGCTACATATTGCATACCGCGCTGCGTCTAGCGGGGGGGTAGAGCGATATAACCAGTCTATCGTTAATATTCTGAAGAAGTATGTTAAGGAGTCTGGTAAAGACTGGGACATTAAATTGCCCCTAGTTTTAATGGCGATTAGAGCTACACCTAGCACTGCTACCAAATTGTCACCTTTTGAATTGATGACAGGAAGAAAGATGGTTTTACCACAGCATTTACTATATCGTACTTCGGATCATAACTTGATCAATGCTGCCACTACGCATCAGTATATTGAAGATTTGCGCAAGCATTTACAGCATGCATTTGCTTTTGCCCAAAAGAATCTAGAAAAAGCAGCGACAGGGGTTAAGACCTATTACGATTTAAAAACCACGAAAAAGGAATATGAAATCACAGATCAAGTCTATCTGTATAACTTTGCGCGAAATCAAGTTAAGGAAAAGAAATTTTTACCTTCTTGGAAAGGACCATATGTCATCATTGACAAAATTTCCCCAGTAGCGTACAAGATAAAAATTCCTAAGGATGGTGATTTTATTGAAAAGTGGGTTCACATTAACCAGTTGCGTGCTTGTCATCCTAAATCTCAATTAAGGATTATAGGTGTGGATTCGGATGCAGAAGGGTGAACGACTAACCTGGATGAATGCTTGATTCACGTGGTATAGTATGATGTGAATTGTTGTGATGTACTATGATCTCATGTACGTTCATGTCATTAACCATTTCCTTGCCATCCAATAACTACATTTTATAAGCAGGTTACTAGCTTGTTTAACTGCTATAGGCAAATTGCTGAAGAGTCAGTAATAAATGTAGTGAGGGATGAAGTTATAAAAATAGAATTAGAGAGAATACATATGTTGATGAATCGTAATAATGTGTTGTCCTAGGCCAAGTGATATCACACTGTTATAAGTTTGTATGCTTAACAAACCTTGAATCATTAGTAGATAAGTCTGAAACGAGTTCCTGATCCGTGACTGTCGAAAGATGTCCAAGAAGGATGTGACTTGTTTCTGGATCGTACTGCTCCTGTGCCAAGAGCTACGGACCGACCCGATCGCAGAGATGGGACCATCCTCCGGTATCCTTATTCAAGAGACACCAGGGTTCATCTTAACAGAGAAGAGGATCCTGACCAGACGTGTGTTCGTCAGCTTGGACCCCAAGATTTCCATCGAGAAGGCATACAACATTTCATCGATGCAGCTTCCTGAGTTACAGACTTGGTACCAGATGCACCTCCAAAGAGCACAGGACCGTGTGCGAAACATCTTGGAGCAAGCCCGGAAACCATTTGTATCCAGTTCTATTCCGATGAGCAACCGACCCAAAAGGTTCCTCACCGCTATAATTGTTGCATTAGTTTGTGCCACTGTCGGTGCAGTTGTCGCAACTGGAATGTCTGCAGCCAACTCTATTACTGTCCAAAAGCTGGATATGGAAATCTATGCGCTAAAGCAACACATTAACAATATTCATCAGGTGATAAACCAGCAAAGAACACTTCTCCAAGACGTGTTAACTATTGTGGAAGACACAGTTGTTACAACAAATTTGCATTCGGAATTAATTGCCAAATCCACTGAGTTGCACCAAAGTCATGACTTATTTAAGCGTGAACTTTTATTTCTGCATGACCCAATATTGTTCCACACACTTGCTTTTCTTGACGAAGTGCAAACTGGAATGATCGAATTGGCAGGGGGACGCATACCTCTGTATTTTGTATCCAAGGATATTGTTCATGCGATGCTTGCCAATGTGGATAGAGAGACAATTGAGCCTATGCAATTAAATCTGGCCTTTGAGATGGGGAGCGCTATACCTCTCTTAATTGATCCGGAACGTATGGAGATTTGCTTTTTATTGACCATACCATATGTAACTCCCAAAGACATTTTTCAAATGAAAATAATGTACTATGCTAATAATGATATTATGGTTGATTGTACTAAGTGTAAAGTTCAAAACTTTTACAGGTACAAATATATACAGAAATGTTCATTCCACGTACGGGCCTATGTTAGAAATGATGTGATTGCACAATATGTCTGATAACTTCTATAGTGCTTATTCATAAGCTAAATTAATTTTGGCTATGAAATGCACTAAAGGGGGGTTATGTCAGAGTATTTATATCGGCAGACATCTTGTGCTATGATAGAAACTAAAAGTGTATATTCTGAGTCACTCTGAACAGACCAGACTCCATTTTGTTATTCCAAGTTAACAGAAAGACACTATATTTCTATCTGTAAGCTAACCACTTTCCCAGAGCTGAGGAATGCATAGTATAAACAAGTGATAAGGAAGGGGGTTGGACAGACTGTCTAATGCTAAAAGAATATAATCAAATCTAAACCCAGACAATTGTGACAGAGAAGATTAAATAATTTAATATTTAACTGTCTATATATATAAGGTACCATTGTATGGAAAAGTGTAAACTTAGTTCATGATCTGTCATATCAGAAATTATGGCAGGAATTGCAGACGCTAAGTCTGGACAAAACTTTAAGAAACCCTTTGAAATTTGAATTATGACCACTATCTAGATAGGCCAAAATGACGTCAAAATAGCCACCAGGAAAAGTTAACTCTTTCCTGGATAGGTATGTTTAGTGGGACAAGACTGCCCTCTACAGACCAAATAACTAATTTGCGATCTGGAAGATAACCACACCTCTAGTGCTTCTATTGGGTTATCAACTGATGACGTACAGAGAGTCTGGCCCTTTAAAAGTTAAGACAAAGGGAAGATAGAAAGAGACAAGAGATACAAGACGAAGGAGGCAGATGCAAGATATGCAAAGGAGAGAAAAGAGAGGAATTGGAAGTTTGGGGACTCCAACCTCCATGCAGAGACACATCCAAATAAATTCCTGAGACTACCAATCGGATGAAATATCTACTCAACTGGTAATTATACTGGTTTCATTTAATTAAATTAAATTAATTAAATTATATTAATAGCATTATATATGACTGGATAAAGCACGGTCAGATTTCCATATTAAGAAATCTTAGTTAACTAAGAATATATAGTTATAAACATTCCATTCTGCAGGTGGAATTAAGAATAATTATATATTGATGTGATATTATCACGTGTTAGCATACCGCTGTTTTTATCCAGGTGTATTGATTTGCTCTAAATTAAGATAGATATCTTTTAGACAAATTAAAAATCTGCTTATATAATGTAGTAAATTATCTTATTGGATGGGTTAAGAAAATGAATTTAAACTGGTTTAAATGTTATTTTATTTAAAAATTACATCAGAATAGATCTTAACTAACTAGGAGATCTAGCCAGCATTGAAAGGGTTATTCTAACTGTCGGCTAAACTTTACGACCTTACGCTGCACTCTGAGGAATTCTGTTCTTCGATGTGGAAAGTTTCACTTTCAGCCTGTGTTAAAGATAGTAATAAATAAGTCTTGACAGATAATGCTGTTTAGCCATTGTAACGTAATACCCATTTCTTTGTATTGCATACCAATTTATACTGAATATTCATTGATTATTGTCACGCATGTTACATAATATTATTTATTAATTATTGGTTATCATAAATAAAATCTATTTTTATATATTGTGATTATTTATATGAAATACTTTTCACTTAACACGATAAACGTTCTTTGGGATCTGAGAATTGAATTAGTGGGCAATTCTCACTGTTACTATTATTATCCCATAAATATCCCCACAAAACCAGAAGTCCGGAGGTCACAGCTAAGGTCTACAAAATGGCGGACTGCTCACGCAATGCAGACATATGCAATGCCAGAAAAGAAACAGAACTCCAACTCACGTATATCTTTGGATTATTCTGGGAGAAGCTGGAGGCACTGCCAGACAGCACAATACAGGACTCGACACGGGAAGTCAAAGAGAGGGAAAGGGAAACCCCCCAAGAACCCACTTCCAAGGCGGCCAGGCACCGAAAAAGAGCCGGCCTGAAAGCAGCAGCATGGAGACCCACTACAAGAAGACACGCCCAAGCCAATGGGACACCAGTGAGTAATCAACAAAAGCTGCATCGCATACAAGCAGTGATACAGCGAAGGCCCCGGAAAGGCACGGCCCACCGCAATCGACAGACGACGGCGGAGCACAAGGCCAAACATAGAGGCAGCAACAGAGCAACTGCAGGGGACCAACTGCAGCCCACAACCACTCCTAAAAAGAAGGCCCATATAACCTACCGATCCAGCAAGCCAGACCTCCACAACTGGATGGCTCTCCCCTGCACTCCCGGCTGCCGAGGGCGAGACACAGACCACCACAACAGGACACCACTGAGATCCCACCGGGCATCGGCTGACCGCCATAATCCTTGGGCAGCCGCACAAACTCTGAGACTGCAGCCTCTTTCAAAGGCGTTTACAACTCAAAGTCTTAGGGGACAACCACACACACTTACAACTAAATGACCGAGTTTAAGCCCACTCCATTCACCCACACCCACTAGACCTCACACACTAGAAAACCACCCGGGGGAGCCACTACCACTACTATACCACAACAAGCACCTAAACACTGACACAGGACACCACACAACCATCAACCGCATCCCAGTCAGCTTGCATACCCTATATACACGTACACTGAGATAACGAACTGCTGACACCCTGACAAATACTTGCATATCTTGTGTTATTTTGATCAACCTGACGCTCAAGCTTGAAAGTCTTGAACTTTCGTCTGACCATACCACTGTTCTAATACTTAAAAATGTGCCTATGTCTCTTAATGCTCCTATTGCTATGCATGAAAGATGCTAGAGGACTGCTGTTGGGGCACCCCGAGCTTGCATGTTATTGTCATTATGCACAACAAAAATACAAAATTAAATTATTTTTTAAAAAGACAGCTTTAGAATGCTAGACTTATATGAAATGACACTGTGACACACATTTGTTATTTTCAAACGCAGAATTTACTAAGAGAAACACTGTACCTGAAAATTTCCTCTATAGACTTCAAAAAGACTAGAAAATGTATGTTTCGGGTCAGGTATAACTGGAAACACATGTTTTTTTAATCTGGAAAGTAAAATACAAATGCACAGATTATTCTGAACAAAATATTATATCCATATTTCACATTTAACATCTCCATTGATAGCTAACCAAGACACTGTTTATAAACTTACTTCCAAACACCTAAAGCGATTCAACTTGCAGGGTTATTCACTAAAGTGAGAATTCAAAGTGAATTCAACATGAATTTCAAATTTAAGGTCAAAATAGCCAAACTGGAAAAAATCTCTAAGTCAGCCATGCTTTCCATTCAGCTTCCCTGCCCTTAAATTTGAAATTTACTTTGATTCACTTTAAATTCTCATGTTAGTAAATAAGCATGTTAGTGTGTATATGTGTTTATAAAAGTGTGTGCGTGACAGTGTGCATCTGTGTGTGTGACAAATGTGCATGAGTGTCTGTAGCAGTATATGTCTGGGAATATATGTGTATCTAGATCAGTGTTTATTTGTTTGTTAGTAGGTCTGTGAATGCATGTCTTTGTGTTTGTTATCGTTTAGGAATGCATACATATAGAACTGCGTGTGTATCTGTGTTTGTGTGTCTAGGAGAACTCATCCATGTGTGCACATATCTAAAAACATATATGTGTCTGTGAGTTTCTATCTGTCTGAATGTGTGGTTGTGTGTGCCAGGATAGAAACACAAAATGGTTTGGTAAGGACCCTGTGATGTCTGATGGTAGTTCACATGCTCTCTATCCTCACTAGTAAGTATCTCCCTGGGTGGAAAGGAGCCGTAGCAAAAAAACTCTTTAGAGGTAAGTGACCTCTAACGCAACATTGTTAGTGTTCGTTGGGAGCTCTCTGTATGAAACAAAGCTACTCGACTGGCAAGAAAACATAAGAGTACAAGAAAATAGACCAGCAAAGTTGAGAGATGGGACACTAATGCAATAAGTCTGCCCTTTCGGGAAAATAACACCGGTCAATGATGTGCACTCTGCCAAAACAGCAGAGTGAATTTCATTTGATCGAGAGTGCAGAAATATCATGGCAACTGAAAGTAAGGGAGGCAGGTAATTTACCCACAAATGCTTTTACAGCATCATAAATTATTTTTTTTTTTCACTTTTGATGGGTAGTATATCTATAGCTTAAAAAAAAAAAAAAGCTAGCACATACCTTTTCGTAGCACATGCAAGTGACGTAATGAAAATTACCACTAAGAGAAGGGCTGATGAAATATATAATAAATTGGCAAATCCGTAAGATACAGAATCTTTGCGAATATCTTCATTCTTCATACAGGTGTCTAACAAAGAGACATAAACAGAAATAAGTAATACAACTAATAACTAAATAGGCAACCCTGTTATTTATAATTTTCTGTGTTATGTGCCACTCATATTTCAATTGATGCATAATTTATCTTTCTTTTACAATGCATTTTCCATGACTATGGCATAAATAAAGAATGTAAAAAAAAAACAAACAGCTAAATAAACAAAACACAACCATAGAAATTCATGAACATGGTTTTCAAGTAATCTGGGGTTATTTTTAACGATCTGAGATTGAAGGCATGGGAAACCCCTGGTCTTATTTATGGCAAATATTGTTCATTCCATTATTAGGCTCAGAAGATTTTGGCAAATTCTGCCCCTATGCCCTATATTTATTTGGATCAGTAAACTGAGCTACCCCTAGTCCAGTTATTTTTGCGAATTTGTATTTTTATTTTTTTTGCATAGCTGTTGGAAAGGCTAATCACCTCTCTCAGTGGTAATGCTGGCATCCTATGGGCCCATATGTGTGTTATGCTGATTTTTATCTCGAAAACAATTGCCAATTTGTATCCTGACATGCTTTGCCTGCACACACTGCAGTTTGATTTGCTGAATTTAAAAATGGTTGCACTAAGCAGAGAGTGAGCTAAGAGTGGTGCACCTGGTGAAACTGAATTGGCAAAAAGACCAACTAGCCTGTTCTGCCACCAGGTATAGTGACAGAGCAGCTCCATGGCACTTTTCTTTGCAGCTACTGTATAGACTGAAAGGCAGGCAGTTGCAATAAATAGGCAGGGGGAGTAGGCACAGTATTTGGGCTGCTTTAAAATGCAGCCTTGCCTACTTCTCACCCCCTTATCAATGAATACCACTTCTTCCCTGATTGGGATACAAGAGAATAGCTACCATGCAGCATGCCACGGGAACTGTACGCAGGTCTTAGATCCTATTTTAGATGGCTACTGGGTGCTACAAGTCACACTATGGGAATAGAAATGGTGAGTGAATAGTATAAATTAGAAAAACCCTAATTACACTCCTGCTCACTTTTAATGAATTAACTCCTCACCTCCAAGTCATTTGCACAAATCCTTCTCACACACACACCCCTATATTCTTGTCACTTACACCCACCCTACAAATCCCACTCCCCTCCACCTTTCAGTAACTTACACTCTGCATGTACCCACACCTTGTATTCAGTAATGCCCACTAACAAAGCCCCTTATCTTCTGGCTAGTTACACCCACACTGCACACTTCCACCTCCCAGTCACTTATATCCAACCTGCAACACCCCCCTAGATCCCAGTCACTTACTTTCATCCACTTAGAAGCTCTTATACTTACACTGCCCATTGCTCCCCACCTCCAAGCCACTTACATCCATTCTGCACATGCCCCCTCACTGACAAGTAATTTACACGCACCCTTTTACATACCTCCTCACTTTCACTTCATGCACACCCACTCGCTTTATCACTTTACAAAGTAAAACATATGCCATACCACCAGGACCGGTGCAAGGATTTCTGCCACCCTAGGCAAAGATCCATTTTGCCGCCCCCTTATGTCACTCACTCAATGACAGACACACGCTGGCAGACACAAACACTCACTGACATACACACACACAGAAACTCACTGACAGACATACACTCACTCACTGACAGACATACACACACAGACACTCACTGACATACATACACTCACTGACACACACACACACAGGCAGACACTCACTGACAATCAAACACTTACACACGCATTGCCAGACACCCACACACTTACTGACAGACATGCACACACACAGACAAACACTCACTGACAGACACACACACTGACAATCAAACACACACACACACTCACTGACAGACATACACACACAGGCACTCACTGACATACATACGTTCACTCACTGACAGACACACACACACACTCACTGACAGTCAAACACAGTCAAACAGTCACTAACACACAGACTCAGACAACCAGCCTCCCTACCTCCCTGGGGTCCAGTGTGAGGCAGCTCCTCACTCCTCCAGAGTGCTGTCTAGTATGCTAGGGCTGGAATAACGTCATATTCCGGCTCCCAACATCACAGACAGCATGCGAGGGAGGAGTGGGGAGCTGCAAGAAGAGCCTCCCTTGCCACTGCCTGCCTCCTCTCCTCTGGCATTTATCGGCAGAGTAGGCACCTGCCATGAGGGTAAGCAGGTGCCTGCTCTGCCATACTGAAGGACAGCTTCAGGGGCGCCCTGACAGGTCTCCTCTCTGCGCCCCTATTCTCGGCACCTGGAGGATCGGCCTGGCGCTGGGGAGGGGGCGGCTCAAGAGCCGCTCGCGTAGCGCTGAAGCCTAGGACAGGGGGAGCTCACCAGGAAATATCCCGGTGGGCGCCTCCAGCAGGCTGGAACCCTAGGTGAATGCCTAGTTCACCTAACGGTTGTGCTGGCCCTGCATACCACCTTCCCTCACCCACACTGTCACATATTGCTATGCAACCTTTTCACATATTCACCCGCATTCACCTTTAAATCACATTCTCCAAACTAGTCACTTAATCGCAAACCACAATCTAGTTGCAATCACCCATCCAGGTACCCACTCCAGTCCCATTAACTCATCACACTCAGTCATATATCAAATAACCTACCACCCTTGACCCTCACATAGCAAATAACCTGCCAAGTCACATTCGACCATTCACCAACTGTCACATTCACAGATTACATATGCAGTCACAAACATAAACACACACACAGACAGAAAGATGGTGAGGAGGATAAGTGTTTGTGGATTACATTTTCATTTTGCTCAACCAGCTCTAAGAATACTGGTTTAGAGTGAAAAATTTGTCCACAGACTTCTGAAGTGTCATTGTTAACCCCTTAAGGACGGCAGGCGTTCTACGCCGTCCTTAAGGAACCGGCTCTAAAATACACGTACAATGATATTGATTAAATATATATATCATTTTCATTATATATATATATATATATATATATATATATATATATATATATATATATATATACATATATATATATTTATATATAATAAAAAATAAATATGTAAATACGTAAAAAAATAAAATTAAAAAATAATAAAAAATGAATAAATAAAAAATATATATACATGTGTAATTTCGTTCTAACTGTATTTTAAATAAAAGGTGAATTACGCCTGAACAGACATTAAGCGCAAATTCAAGTTTTTGTTTACGTTTTGTTTTGATCACAACGTGTACATTTGGCTCAGTTCTTAAGGGATTAAAGGACCACTCCACACACCAAAAGCACTTCAACTTGCTTAAGTGCTTTATGGGTGAGGAGTAGCCTAGCTTAACCCCAGTTTATAAAAGTGCTGATTTCTTTTAGACTGAAAGGTCTAAGCTAACGGAAGTAGCAGCCACGCTCTACTTGCCTCCCCCTCCTTCACAGACCTCAGAGCAGCTCCTCTGTTGTAGACAGGCATGCGCGCACAGGAGCCGCCGATTGGTTATTTCCTTGTGAAGAGACTGAAATTGTCTTCAAGGAAAAAAGGGGAGGGCTTACAAAGGTGGCAGTTCATAAGAACTGCAGCCTTTGCAAACACTTGTAAGATATACAATGTATGCATTTAACACTAATTCCTTAAACAGCTGTGAACAAAATTTGCGCATAATGCTCATCCAGTCATCCATGGTTATTAAATACTAAAACGTGCTTGGACTAAAATCTGAAATGTATGAAAAAAAAATGATCAAGAAAATAATTCCAACTCAGTTATAGTTACAGTTTGGGTAATGTTAGAGTATTACAATCAGTTACAATTATAGTCCATTGTAGAGGTTGTGTTGCTTTGAGCATCTGTTCAAATCATTTGAGCTTGAATGAATTGGTTAGAATTAAACTATACTATATTTGATTTTTAACTGACATGCTCTTCAATTTGATTTCTTCACGTGCAGTTCAGTCTAACTTTACTGTGTGTTGTTGCACTAATGTAAAATAACAAAACTAGAATCCACGGGCATTTATTTAGGAAATCCTGCCCTAAGCATGCAGAAAGAGAATTATGAGCAATTTGTGAACTAAGTCTTCATTTAATATTTAGGGATAAGCTTTTCAATTTAATATTTAAATAACAATATTTAATAATATTTGGAAAAATTGATATTAGAGGTTAAACATGAAAAATTTACATTGCCAACAATAAATCATTAAATCTTACCTGAGTCCATTCCTTTTACTAAGGAGATGTTTGGACCCCATACACTTTCAATGTCTTCATTAAAACAATGACGTAATCCGAGGAATTGTAATTCGATTAGATAGCATTTTTCTGGATCCAGGTTTATACCGTCAAATGTACAGTAAAAAGGTATGAATCCCATGCATTCTAAAGAAACTATAGATTTCTTTTCAATCAAATACACAGAAACATGGAGGAAAAAAATTTAATGTATTAGAAGGTGCAACATGTTAAACCATCACATAAATTCACACTGAAATTATATGTACCTAAACCAGTCCTTTCTCATAATTCTGTATGTTTAAATTTTTTGAGTGTTGAAAAGCAATGCTAAGCAAATTATAGCCTACAAAATTCACCTCCCTTTCTATTTGCTCCAGCACTGGTTTTAACCCTATATATGAATTTGTTCTTATGCCACTGCTCCATTGAATTTGTCTTTACCTAATGCATAGAGACTGTAAACAGAAGCTACTCTACCTACTTGCATATTCTATTACATCCTTTGTAGGTCAAACTTTAAGGTGACATTCTAGCAAATGGGGAGTATACATTATTTTCACATAGCAACAACAGCCCATGTTTTCTCGTAATACAGATATGCTTGGTGTAATTGAGAAGGTGGGCATTAGGCCCATTTATTGACATTATTTTAAACACTTGTGGCATTTTAAGAAACTATGTATACTTCACTAAAGGTGCTTTTTAACAAGGTGCATTTTAGACACCTTGACCATTTCATATCATTGAAATAGTCAGGATGCAGTGTCTCTGTTGCCCATAGTCCTGTAAAACAGTGCAGCTTTTGCAAAACTGCAATGATTACTTTCCAAGACTAAGATTGCCTCTAGTGGCTGTCTTCCAGAGGTAATGCTTTCCCATGGGTAGGATCTAAGGCACTTGCAGCAGTCACCGCGCATGTGAGTTTGACTGTGTGTCTATGTGACTGACTGTTTGTGTGTGTGTGTGTGACTTTCTGCCTGTATGTGTGTGTGACTGTCTGCCTCTGTGTGTGTGTGTGTGTGTGTGTGTGTGTGTGGCTGCCTGCCTGTGTGTGTGTGTGTGTGTATGTCTGTCTGTCTGTCTGCATGTAAGTCTGTGTGTGTGTGTAAGACTGTATGTGTGGCTTTATGTGTGTGGCTGTCTGCCTGTAATTGTGTGTGTGTCCCTGGAGAGGCTCCTTTAAAATTATATAATAAATGCAGGATAAAAAAATAAAAAACATAAAATTTTAAGGGTAAAAACAATATGTATTGTAATATACCACACAAAATGAAATAAAGCAAATTAAAAAGTCCTTCTGAATGGACCATGAGGATGAACTTGGAAAATGTCTGGAATTTAGAACGCGATAAAACATTAGCAGCAGTTTCACAAACTCCAGGAACATGTATACATTCTATGTAAGAACTGGAATATAGCCGCTAACCAAGTTAATTTCCTGACTAGTTTCATTATAGTAACGGATTGTGACTTTCCTTTATTTATAATGTGGCAAGCTACTTTATTATCAGTAAAGTACCTGACTGCTTGCCCTTTCCACAAATGTCCCCAAACAGATGCTGCCACTACTAGGGGAAAATTTTCAAATAGAGGAAAATTAAGGAATTAAATAAAGAAAACAAAATTAAGGCATTTGAGAAATGTTCTAATTGGGAGGTTTCAGGGGGCCATTGAGATAGGACCCACTCGCTTTAGTATATAGCTGCATAGCCTTAGGTGACAGCTCCATATGTCCAGACTACATAGGAGGGTTATCGGAGATAGGGGGGATAAACATTGATCTACCGTTTCATGTGGTTAGAAATAATTGCCACATGGTAATGTCTGCCCTGGTTTATGAGTTGAGAGTGATCCGACTACCATCATCTGGAAGTCCATGTAAAAGACATAACAGCCTACAGTTAAATGAACAAGCTTGGGGTATGATTCTCATTTTAAAATGGAGAGACACTAGCAGTGATTGTAGTTCCTTCCGTGTGTTAGCAATTTTTAGTGTTAGCAATGTTGCTTATCATCCATGACATTATAGAGTTCTATTATTGCTGTGTGCTGTTTTTTTATCTCTATTAGTGCTTGTCTACTTGCTTATCATTATCATAGTCTAGATCTATAATATCAGTTAAGTGTAGTGCGTACTACTAAATTAACATTCTAGTAGTTCTAGTCATGTTCAGAAAGGAAATGTTTCATAACCAGCTACTCACTATGAGTCATCAACAAGCAAATGTTTAGTGAGTTCTGATTCTCAATCTGGATTGTCATTAAATAAAAACATAAATCAGTTATAAGATTAAAGGAACACTATAGCTTTAGGAATACAAATATGCCCCTTCCGTGGTGAATAAATTGTTAATGGTCTCTCGGCGCTGGTGACCTCTCCTCCTCCATCGACGTCAACCCCAATGGAGCCGAACCCGCATCCTATGGGGATCTTGTTTTACGCTGAAGGTCCGTGAGGACGTCCAGCTTCAAATAAGTGCGATTTACTCAGTGTAAATTGCGGAAGCACCTCTAGTGGCTGTCAGGGATTTTTTTTCAGCTGCAGTGTTTAAAACTTGGGGTCTGGGTGCCTATAGTAGTCCTTTAATGAATTATGTTTTACATGTATATGCCAAAATCTTTCAACTGGGAATCCCCTGGTCTTAATTAGGAAATGGTGAGGATATTGTCATGGTCAGAGCATTTGGGCATTAGTGGAATCTCTAACTTTTTGGCACAGAAGCATTCTTTTGGTCTTGGGGTTTAGGGACCACTTAGCCCATTTCAATATTTTATAACCCTTGACTTAATTACTCAGGAGATTTATCAGACCCCTAATGGATATATATTGTCTCCATCCTATACACAATATTTGGAGGATTGGGTACAAACCATTTGCTGTTTCCTTATCAGTTTTCTCCTCACCTCCCACATGTTGTTCAAATACTTGGGTATGTTGTTAGACCCCAATCTATCTTTTGGCCTCCACATAGAAAAGCTTGCATCTAAACTTTATCCAAAACTAGGTGCCCTGTACAGAAACAAATCCTGCCTAAGCCCTACAGTAAAGGAAAGATTGCACAGCAAATGCTGATGCCAATCATTGGTTATGGGGATGTAGTATATGCACCTGCACCGCAATCCCACATTAATAAACTCAAAATATTGTATAACTCGTTCTGCCGATTTGCCATACAATGTAATAACAGGACCCACCATTGTGACATGCTAAAAGAACTAAACTGGCTGTCGCTGGAATCCAGACGCACCCTTCATCTTTCCAGCCTTGTGTTTAACCCCTTAAGGACACATGACATGTGTGACATGTCATGATTCCCTTTTATTCCAGAAGTTTGGTCCTTAAGGGGTTAACAGCTTTTCTGGGAAACTCCCACCCTACCTGAACAAAATGCTCTCCCAGGCTGTTCCCACCTCCTACAACCTCCGATCCAGTACCAGCACTTTATTTAGTCTACCTCAATACAAAAAGAAAGCGCCCCGATCCTCCTTCTCCTACAGAGCACCGCAATTGTGGAACGACCTCCCGCACACTTTAAAATCTTCCCCATGTCTAAAGTCCTGTAAGAGATCCCTCTCTACACACCTCAAAACAGAATGCACGTGTCATGGTTGATTATAAATTTCCTACATGTTAAATGTGGTATATATTGTGTATTAATACTTTTTTTGTATTTTATTGTACCCTATTGTATCAATGCAATGTTTTGTGGATCCAGGACATACTTGAAAACGAGAGAAATCTCAATATATCTTTCCTGGTAAAATATTTTATAAATAAATAAATAGGGCAATAGAAGAAAAGGGCCATCTTTGAGATGCTGTGTTTTTTTCATATGGCTGGCAGCATTATGACTACAATGTTTTGCTGTTTGCAGCTATAGTTTTTCACTTAAGCCATTTGTCCATCATGTTTCTCCTACAACTGTGCAAACTCTGTATGTACATTGGCAAACTCACTGGAACTAACGACTTTTTAACTTAAATCCTGCATTCCATTGTGTAAAATAGCGTGCATATCATATCTGAATTCTCTTTAAAAATAATTTTACAAATATGCCAGTTTTTCCAGAAACTAATAGATCAATTGACACATAGAACAATGCTGGCCATGTGAAGAATGGCTACCTCAGTTAACAATATACAATAAGAAATGGTTTTAAAATCCACACTACTATGCATGTGGTTATTGAACATTATTGACATATTAATTTTCACGTGCTTTCTAAATCAATATAGCAATAAATATACTGACCTCCCAATGATTTGTATTGCTGCTTTTGAACCTCATTTTCATTTCATAGCATATACTCAGGTAATCAATATCTGGATTCTTACAATAAATAGTGATGTCATTTTCGTGCCATTGAATTGTCACATTTTCAGGAGGATTTATGATGAAAGCTGAGAACAAAGAGAAATGATAAAATGTTATTTATTATTTCACTTGTAGGAGCAACTTAACATGTTTGTGGTTAGAACTAAAATATACAGGGTTATTAAAGAGAGAACTCAAGCTCAATTCAAACGGAATTTGAACTTTAAGAGTCGCATAGCCAAACTGGATAAAATCACTAATCAGCTTGATTTTCAGTAATCTTGACAATCTTTTGTTTCTGATAATAGTGACAGCTGCAAATCTGGAACCTTTTAGAAAATATCAAAAATTAGAAGGTTAAAATTATTGATTATATAATAAAAAGACAAATAATAGAGGAGCAGGCTATAATCTAGACCTCGATCATTTGGCTTTTTATTATTTGATTATTCTATAAGTTTGAATTGACTTAAAGGGACACTCCTCACACATGAAGAACTTCAGCAAGCTGAAGTGCTTTAGTGTTCTCGAATGTGTCTTCTTTTTTCCATTTTACAAAAAGTGCAGATTTCAATAGATATTGGAACTTTTATAGATTAACCTTGTAATGCCCCCTGGTTGTCAATCAGGCAACCGTTACTTTCTTGTTGAGTAGCTCAGTGGAGCAGAACCTGTTTTTTTCAAAGACTTCTCCTTGAGCTTCTTTTAGATATACCCCAATGGAAAAATGCATAATTAAATGCAATATGTTTTCATTGGGGATATATATACAAAACAGTGTTTTGTGTTGTTTTTTTATTTGGGCAGTGGAATGTCCCTTTAAGAAACAGGCATATCTCTGGTTATTGAATCAAAATTGCCGCATGTGTGTAAATGAGGATAAATGCTATGTAGTTTCCAATGTTAATGGGACACTATAGTCACCAGAACAACTACAGCTTAATGTAGTTATTCTGGTGAGTATAGCCTGTACCTTCAGTCTTTTTGCTGTAAAAACTGCTTTTTCAACGATAAAGCACTGCAGGTGCTTCCTGGGGCAGTGCTTATTTGACATGCTACAGTTTGCCCCCAACCCCACCCAGCCTCCTTGGTGATCTCACCAGTGGTGGAAATAAGGTAAGTTTTTTACCTTTTAAGGGGGCAAGATGGAGTAAGCCACCTAAAAGTGGTTTTAACACTATAGAGTCAGATTTGTGTTGCTGACCCTATAGTATTCCTTTAAGATTGACTCTTCTAACAGACTCCAGTCCTGAATGATCAATCTGTTAAATAATTGTCACATTTTCAAAAGGGCTGAGCATGAAAGCTGATTATAAAGATAGATGATTCATAAGTATTTCACAAATGAAATCACCTAAGTACATGTTTACATTAGTAATACAAAACTGCAAAATATAAAGCTGCACTTTCCATTTTTTAGAGCGTTGGGGATTTTCACAGCTAAGGGAGTAGGATGCACGTTTGGGGTTAGAATGAAGATATTATCTGTTGCTGCATTTCTAAAAAAAACAGTGACAGCTGCAAACCTGGTATTTTCTATAACTTTTTTTTTTTTTAAATGTCAAAAGTTAAAAAGTCAAAATGCTACTAAAAAGCAGAGTGATAAATCTGACTGCCATTCTGGGGTCAAGAAGGCATTTTTTTCCTAGCTTGTTGCAAAATTGGAAGTGCTTCAAACTGGTTTTTTTTGTCTTCTTTTGGATTAACAGCAAAAAACAAATGTGAGGAAGGCTATGTAATTATAGAAACAGAAAGTAAGAGGCGCTCTCTATAACACAACGAATAAGTGAGGGCTGCTGTATCCAATACAAGGATTCCCAAAACCATTGAGACTTTCAATCTTCCTGCAGGGGTATGGTGATTCTTCAGCTAAAGTGCAATATAAGAAATAATGAATAAATGTAACTAGCTTGTAATCAATCCATTATTTATGTTTAAGCATGTGTGACTTTATATAAATAGCTATTAACACATAGCTATTGCAAATGCAATGGTTGCTATGTGCTGTTGCAAAGCATCAATGAAAATAAATCAATTTGCCTGGCATCCTAATTTTCAATAAACTTTTATAGTACCACATAACTATATATTTTTTCTGTTACATGCATTTCACATTTTCCTACATGCTTCTTTAAAGACCACTCCACACATAAAAAACAAACAAAAAAATACTGTTTGGTAGATATACCCCAATGAATACATGCATGCATATTTTTATGGATGTATTCATTGGAAGTATAGTCTTAAAGAGCTTACAAAAGCTGCAGTTTTTATGACTGCAGCCTTTGTAAGCCCTCCCATGTTTTCCTGGAAGAGACTTTCCTCCCCCAAAATGGAAAATGGCACTCAAGAGAAACTGTGCAATAATTTTTTTCATGTTTGTGTTCTAATGTTTGTGTTGAGTATTTGTTTTGTAAATTTGCAGTCTACTTTTTCTTTTGTCTGTATGATTTTATTATTGTTATTACATCTATGCGTATGCAGCATCTTTCCCTAGAAATCAGTGATAGATATGTAACATTCGTATTGTATTGATTTCATGGGATGCAGTTAATCAAGTGAATTCAATGATTAGTGGAGCCTAAAACGTGCTGCATAATTCACATTATAGGAGAGAAACAATTTTGTTGTAATTTTTTTACTATATGCTTCTTTTGAATCACTTTGTACATTCAATGGTATTACACTATTGCTGGAAACACACCAGGTAAATTCTACTACACAGTCCGGTTTATTCGCTGAAGTGAGAATTATTGGGATTTAAAGGGGTTATTCCAAAGTGAGAATTCAAAGTGAATTTCAACTTAACAACTTTTGATTATCCCTTTACTGTATAACACTGTTAGTAGATAACTCTGAATGAATTAAAAAGGATGGTGAAAAAACAGTCAGCAGCGTTACTTCCAGATCCTTTCAATGTATTTTTGCGGACAGATAATACGTAGTTTCAGCAACAAAAAGTTCAAGTTACAAAGAATAATAATTAAAGCTAACCGAGTTAGGCACAGCTATCCACTAAAGTGTGAATTGTCAGAAATTCAGAATTATTTCAAAGTTATTGATATATATATATTGGGCCAAAATAGCTGACCAGGAGATTTTTATCAATTTAGCTATTTTTTGCCAATAATTTAAAATAATCGTGAACACAAATTGAATATGAAAGGAGAAACTTAAAAAACCCCACTAGAATTTAGTTGATAAATAAACATTACCAATACATAATATTTTACTTACCATTTAGTTGTGTGACAAGCAAACAACTTCCTAAAATAATGATGTGAATCCAAGTGCTTGCCATTGTCTGTCTTTGCTGTATATCACAGCTTGATTTGAATAGTTTAAACATTTATAACAGCTAAGTAAGCATGAGTGAGTAAAAAAACTCCAGTGACGTACATTTTGGAGTTCACTTTGAGGAAATGATAACAGGAAAAAAAAAAAAAAGATAATGCATCTATGTACACTGGATAAAATCTGTCTCTGGGCTTTTATGCTGAAATCTCATTCTCAAGCTAAACCACATTATCTGACAGTGGAGGCTCCTCCATAAGGGCAGGTGGGGCAGCGCTCCACCAGTTATCTTGAAAGAAAAAAAAAATAGAATAAAAAATATATATAATTCTTTTGGTTGGGTGTTTAACTTTTTTTGTGTAAGCTATCACGTTTAATACGTGTCTGTTTGATAAAAATGTGTCCTGTCCTTTTAATATTAGTGCTGCAGTTCCCATTGTTGCTAAGGAGAGTAAAAAAATCTAATCAGATATTTGGCGACCTCCAAAAATGTGATTAAATCAAATGTGAAATCGTCTACTTCAATGTCATTGGCTGCCTGGCACTCCCTTATTGTTTAATGGAGCCCATAGGGCAGCAATAAGCATCCAAAAGCCACCCTAATTAAAAAGTACAAAATTCTGACCCGCCTACAGGGTTCTCATTGGCTGTGTGCACCAGGGGGTGGAGTTGTCAGAACTCCACTTCCCCTGGTGCAGCTGAGGAAGAGGATTGCTGGTTAATGAGGTATGTGGCTCTGGTTTCCTCCCTCCTGCTCCTACATCTCCCTTCCAGCACCAACTGCCCCTCTCTCCTTCCCTCACAACCCTATCTCTTCCTGTGCTAGTGTCACGGCTCAGCCTGAGCCCTGCAGACAGCAAGGCGTGACTGCCCCTTTAAGAGACCTGGCTGGGTTTGAACTCAGCTCCAGCATCCCAGTCAGGTTCTCTGCCATGCTGTCCACCAGGGGGCTTCAGTTTCTGTTTGCATTTTTTCTGCTTCCTGACCCCATGCCTGGATTAAGCAGCACTGGTCTACCTGCAGCCCTTTTCCAATTAGGGTCAGCTGCACCTAATTAGCAGGCTGTAAAAGCCAGCCCTGCCTGAAACCTATGATCTGGTCATTTTGCCTGTTTGGTGTTTCGGTGCAGAATGTGTATAATGAATGCAGAGTGTGTATAGTGAATGCAGAAGGTGTATAGCGAATGTAGTGTGTTTGTAGTGAGTGTATAGTGAATGTAGTGTGTTTGTAGTGCGTGAAGAGTGTGTATAATGAATGCAGTATGTGCATGTGCTGGATGATGTGTGTGTGTGAGTGCTGGATGATGTGTGTGTGAGTGCTGGATGATGTGTGTGTGTGTGAGTGCTGGATGATGTGTGTGTGTGTGAGTGCTGGATGATGGGTGTGTGAGTGCTGGATGATGTGTGTGTGTGTGTGCTGGATGATGGGTGTGTGAGTGAGTGCTGGATGATGGGTGTGTGAGTGCTGGATGATGGGTGTGTGAGTGCTGGATGATGGGTGTGTGAGTGCTGGATGATGGGTGTGTGAGTGAGTGCTGGATGATGGGTGTGGGGGGGAGCATTTTTTTTTTTAACTTTATGTGTATGTATAGTTTTTTATTTTATTCCCCCCTCCCTGCTTCTTACCTTGTCAGGGAGGGGGGAGATCGCCTGGTGGTCCGGTGGAGGGAGCCAGCCGCTCACTGCACACAGGAGCCATCACACGCTGTGTTCCCTCTCCAGCTCTAACTCTCGCGAGACTCGCCTGTGCGGAGCGTTGCCATGGTAACAGCCGCGGGTCTCGCGAGAGTTATAGCTGGAGAGGGAACACAGCGTGTGATGGCCCCTCTGTGCAGGTAGCAGGGCCGGTCCTGCAGGACAGGTAACGGGAACGGCGTTCCTGCTTTGGAAAAAGTGCAGGAACGCCGTTCCCATGCGT